GAGCCATCCTCTACTCCTACTTCAACAGAGTCATCGTCAAGTAGTTCAACTGAGCCATCCTCTACTCCTACTTCAACAGAGTCATCGTCAAGTAGTTCAACTGAGCCATCCTCTACTCCTACTTCAACAGAGTCATCGTCAAGTAGTTCAACTGAGCCATCCTCTACTCCTACTTCAACAGAGTCATCGTCAAGTAGTTCAACTGAGCCATCCTCTACTCCTACTTCAACAGAGTCATCGTCAAGTAGTTCAACTGAGCCATCCTCTACTCCTACTTCAACAGAGTCATCGTCAAGTAGTTCAACTGAGCCATCCTCTACTCCTACTTCAACAGAGTCATCGTCAAGTAGTTCAACTGAGCCATCCTCTACTCCTACTTCAACAGAGTCATCGTCAAGTAGTTCAACTGAGCCATCCTCTACTCCTACTTCAACAGAGTCATCGTCAAGTAGTTCAACTGAGCCATCCTCTACTCCTACTTCAACAGAGTCATCGTCAAGTAGTTCAACTGAGCCATCCTCTACTCCTACTTCAACAGAGTCATCGTCAAGTAGTTCAACTGAGCCATCCTCTACTCCTACTTCAACAGAGTCATCGTCAAGTAGTTCAACAGAGCTATCGTCTACGTCCACTGCAACAGAGTCATCGTCAAGTAGTTCAATAGAGCCATCCTCCACTCCTACTTCAACAGAGTCATCGTCAAGTAGCTCAACAGAGCCATCCTCTACGTCCACTGCAACGGAGTCCTCACCAGGAGGTTCATCCTCCATGCCTCCCACAACGGAGCCATCCTCTACTCCTACTTCAACAGAGTCATCGTCAAGTAGTTCAACTGAGCCATCCTCTACTCCTACTTCAACAGAGTCATCGTCAAGTAGTTCAACTGAGCCATCCTCTACTCCTACTTCAACAGAGTCATCGTCAAGTAGTTCAACTGAGCCATCCTCTACTCCTACTTCAACAGAGTCATCGTCAAGTAGTTCAACAGAGCTATCGTCTACGTCCACTGCAACAGAGTCATCGTCAAGTAGTTCAATAGAGACATCCTCCACTCCTACTTCAACGGAGTCATCGTCAAGTAGTTCAACAGAGCTATCCTCTACGTCCACTGCAACTGAGTCATCGCCAGGAGGTTCATCCTCTATGCCTCCCGCAACGGAGACATCCTCTACTCCTACTTCAACAGAGTCATCGTCAAGTAGTTCAACAGAGCCATCCTCTACGTCCACTGCAACGGAGTCCTCACCAGGAGGTTCATCCTCTATGCCTCCCGCAACGGAACCATCCTCAACACCTGCTGTGACTGAATCATCGTCAGCAGGTTCATCCTCTATGCATCCTACAACGGAGTCTTCTTCGACAGAACCGTCGTCTAGTTCTTCTGATGCACAATCATCTACTAGTGCCCTACCAACATCCACAACTACCGCAACTGCTGCACCACAGCAAGAATGCAGCGAATTCGAAGTAAAAGCATCCGACGAGCATTGTAATCGGTATTATAATTGTCTGAATGGAAGATTTGTAGAGAAAACATGTCCCTTTGGTTTCTATTATAATCCAGTTACGACATTTTGCGATCTGATAGTGTGCATTCGAACGCCCTTCAAAGCTTAGATTGTCCATTAAATTATAATATTTATTTCTTTTTCTACGGGTTGTACTTTTCGTTAGATGCATCTTTTAACGTAAATATTGTTTACTTCCCGTTGTAATATTTTGTAATTCGCACTGTATTATTCGTAGGTAATAAAAGTAATTTATAAGTAATAAAATTGAAATAGAACTACGCTGTTTTGTTCATTTTGTGTACTACAACTTTCTTGTACCTTTCCTTTCGCCTTCTCAGTTTTAGTCGAACGCTATTCTCAATCGAAAACTGTTTGTTATTTACACAGAATGAATTCAGCACTCTAAAGTAATTTTCGTTTGAAAATTTTATTTGTGAATAAAACTGGAGCTCGCAAGTTTTTCATCTCGTCCTAAAATTGAACAACTTTAACAACTTAAAGTTTGAGTACTTATCATTAATTTTGCAGAAGATATACTCAGATCTTCGTTCATTTTTCGAAGTTAAGGTAGCAATACATTTTGTGTTGGTAAATAAATTTTCTTCGAAAGTTCATTATTTAATATAAGACCGTCTCTGTTATGTAAGAATACGTAAAAAATGCGAAGGTAGTCTTCATTAATTCCTATTTAATAATTCCAATAATCTTCTCCATATTATCGATAAGATAACAGCTGTATTAACGATCGGTTTACTATAAAAGTCGCTTATTACGGCATATTACCTGTCTTCTCTTTCAATCAGTTGTAGCGAGGTACTCAGTATGAAAAGTAAGTAACTTAAAACTTCATTTTATTTCGTAGGAAATTAATGATAAAACTTGTCAAAATATACTGCCACTAAAAATGCAGATAACAAAACCGATAATATTTTATTTTCAACACTATTTCATCGCGTTGATTTTTAAAATCATTCTCAGAATATAAGATACAGGAGATCTAGAAACCTATATCTGTTCAAGATTGGTATTGCAATAACTAATTTATAAATTTCAGACTTTTCGATCGCGTTCGTTGTCATCCTGGCAGCAACGATAAAACTTAACGTTGCCGACATGGATTGCAAGTTGATGCCGGAATGCAGAGGCAAAAATAATATGACGTATACGCATCATTTTTCTCACGAAACGGATTCCCATAAGTATTACAAGTGCTTAGGTACCTACGGATGCGAAATGGATTGTCCGCTCTACAATGGCGAAAGGCTGGTGTTTTATGTGGAGGAGCAATGGTGCGATTGCGAAGTTAGACCTTGCCAGGAAGCTGACGTGACGACGCCGTCAGGACCATGCGAGGAAGGCAAAAAGTATCAGCACCAAGATCCTAACAAGTATTACGAGTGCATCAATGGAAAGTACGTAGAGAGAAAATGTTTAGAGAATCATTGCTTTAATCCAGTGGTCGGTGAATGTGACCTTACTACCAATTGTCCAAGCAGTTAAGGTGCACGTAGGTTCATTGACTGCCAAACCGAAATTGTTCAGTTTCCTTAGGTTTAGACAATTTCACCGAATTTCGATAATATTAAATAGTGAACACGGAAATTAAAGAACAATATGGACAACCGAACTGTTAGATATGAAAATTCAATACGGGTTAAATGGCAATCAACGTGTCAGAACCAATATTTTATTATGTACGTTGCTTACAAAAGCATCTCGATGCTTTTGGTTGGTAATAAAGAAAAAGTAAAACTGTGCAATATTATTTATTGTTTACTGTAAATCTTATTTCGCAGAGAACTCATCGAAACATTTCCTTCAGGTTGTAAAAGTTCTGATCCTTTCCGAATCCAAAATCAATAGCCCACGAATTAATGCTGACAAAGAAATACAAATAGAATCGTACAAGATAGGTGTACACGCTAGAAACAAAGAATACATACAATCGTTTATTGCACGTCACCATAGTATCGTTCAACTATCCCTAGCGTGTGACATGGCCGAACGTCGACTTTCGAAGAATGCTTTCTGTCGCTAGAGTTTTCCAATTCGCGAACGAATCGATTTTCCTCTTGCATCCGCTTCTCGAATTTCGTTCGTTGCGACGATTGTGGAACTTCCAGGATTGTTCTCACGGTATCCCATCCGTCGTTATCGTCTAATCCAGTGAATGGTATGTTTCCCCTCTTTCCGTACCTGGTCACGTGTTACCGTCCAAAAATATTAGTTAATTGAATGTTACGGTGGACTTTCGTTATATTGCAATTTTCGGTGTCTGAATTTTCATTCATATGGATGCGATTTTTTTTTATTTTAAGAATAAGAGAGCGTTAGATAGATATACGTTATATTGCCACTTTTTGGATCGCTATGTGTTAGGTATTTATGCGTTGAATTGCTAGGCTTTAGATTTTTATGCGCTGAGTTGCTACACGTTAGATTTCTACGCATCAAATTTCCATGCGAGGTATTTACTCTTATTAGATTTCTGTTCGATTTGTATTTGTTAGATCGCCACGCGTTCGATTTCTATTTGTTAGATCGCCACGCGTTCGATTTCTACTTGTTAGATCGCCACGCGTTAAATTTTTACTCGTTAGATCGCCACGCGTTAAATTTCTATTCGTTGGATCACCACGCGTTAAATTTCTATTCGTTGGATCACCACGCGTTCGATTTCCACTTATTAGATCGCCACGCGTTCGATTTCCACTTATTAGATCGCCACGCGTTAAATTTCTATTCGTTGGATCACCACGCATTCGACTTCTACTCGTTAGATCGCCACGCGTTAAATTTCTATTCGTTAGATCACCACGCGTTCGATTTCCACTTATTAGATCGCCACGCGTTCGATTTTCACTTATTAGATCGCCACGCATTAAATTTCTATTCGTTGAATCACCACGCGTTCGACTTCTACTCGTTAGATCGCCACGCGTTAAATTTCTATTCGTTGGATCACCACGCGTTAAATTTCTATTCGTTGGATCACCACGCGTTCGATTTCCACTTATTAGATCGCCACGCGTTCGATTTCCACTTATTAGATCGCCACGCGTTCGATTTCCACTTATTAGATCGCCACGCGTTCGATTTCCACTTATTAGATCGCCACGCGTTCGATTTCCACTTATTAGATCGCCACGCGTTCGATTTCCACTTATTAGATCGCCACGCGTTCGATTTCCACTTATTAGATCGCCACGCGTTCGATTTCCACTTATTAGATCGCCACGCGTTAAATTTCTATTCGTTAGATCGCCACGCGTTCGGCTTCTACTTGTTAGATCGCCACGCGTTCGATTTCTATTCGTTAGATTACCACGCGTTCCATATCTACTCGTTAGATCGCCACACGTTCGACTTCTACTTGTTAGATCACCACGCGTTCAATTTCTACTTCATAGATCCCCACGCATTCGATGTCTACTCCAGTATCACATGTTTCATTGTAACGCGGTAAGTTTCATTGTAACGATTGAAATTTTACACTACCACGCATTAGACTTTCATACGCTACCACGCGTTAGATTTCCATACGCTCCACGCGTTATATCACCAAGAGAATCATCACGCATCATGCAGTGAATCAGATCACACGTACATCGCAAAGTGCACCTACCTATTCGTGGCAATATAACGAAAGTCCACCGTATCTTCAACTAAAAGATAAACTGAAACTGAAAAGACAAACAAATAAATAACGAGACAAATTATCATTCATAATTATTAATCTCTACGAAAATCATTCTTGACCATGATCGAAAATAAGTTTAGATCAAATGCTTCGAATCTGTTAGCAGAATTTTTTGAAAATTTTACCTGGCTTTTCCGCTAAGAGTGTAATACTCTCTGACATGATCAATGTATCTCCTTAATTCTTCCGGACTGGTGAACACTTCCGGACGTGTCGGTCTAGCCATTGGCTGCGGCTCGCAATGTACGATCATGATTCCGAAAGTTAAAAGCGCGACGAACATGTAGACGTTGTTCGAAGTGCATTTGGATTGCATCGTGGCTAAGGAAAATTTAGCTGAAGAAGAAGGTTGAGTAGTCAGCAATCTTTCTTGTGTTTTCTCAATGTAAATACTTTTAATGAGAATGTTTTACACAATAAATTAAATATATCGAAGTACTTTCGATTAAGTAGAATCATCGTGAACCATCGAACACTTGTTCAAATATGTGATAGGTTTCGCAAGTTAACTACAGTTGTTTCAATAAACTCTCCTTCGAAGATAGTGGCACGAATATTTCAGTATGTTTAAATCAATTTGTTAATTCGTCTTAATTGCACGATTAATTTATACGACGCTTTTACGCGTCTTTAAACCTTATTTCAGGCTAATCTGGAACACATTGAACGCGTTCTAAAAGCTAATTCGATTACCACCGTGTGGCGAAGCGAAGCGAAATAAATCGTAACACGTGGAAATGGCTCAGAACTCGATTTTCAAAAGTTATCCAGTAATAACTCTCTTAATGCGAGGTTTAATATAAACGGAAGGCAAACGTGAAGTTGAGTTACCTGTTGCATCGTGCTCGTTTGGTACAACTCCAACGGTAATGAAAGTTTTGCGTGGGCAATGCTTGATAGGTTCTGATTCACTATCAAAATTTTGTCGATCAATACGGTTGCGGGAGTTAACATTTTTTCAACACTATCGATATTATTTACACTTATATTAGAAAGCTTTCGATGCTTATCATTCACATTAGCAATAAAAATTAGTTGACTTTTTGTATTATATTAAACATTAAAGTTCTGTATGATACAAGTGTGCTACAGCAAAGTCTTTAGATCATCAATGAGAGATACAAGCATTCAGCTGAAGCTCGAATACCGCAATATTTTATGATAGTCAAAAACTATCCAAATTTCAAGAACGTCAAAGTTAACGAAGCAAATACGAGTCATTAAAATGACAATATCAACGATTTTTCATAAAGTGAACATACTGAATCGTGTATTTTATGAAGGTTTTCGATTTGAAAGAATAGATACACACTAGGTGAAAACAACTGTGTACATAAAAGCTTGATAATCCAGCAACGAAATTAGAGGACGTTTTAGCAGAACTTAGAAATTCGAAGGATATAATGAAACAATGTCGAGTGATTATATTTTCAGGGAACGTAGATTAAAATCGCCATTTCAGACGCGACAAAAATGCGCTTTCACGGTTGAACGAGTACGTCGATGCGTTCATAACTGGGGCTTGATTGAGAAATCAAATTCATCCAATGAAACAGGATCGTTTAACGTGCGAGCATTTTGAATAATTCAAACGATTGTATCGATCAGAAAAAGTTCATTGTTTTTCCAATCTTAAATAATAAATTTCAGGCGAATTAATTCACTCGTAAGGAATAAAAAAAAGATCAGTATCGAAATGCAGTTCCGAAGATAAAAATTGATCGCACACGTAACGGTTACAACAAACGGCACATTGTTCTCGATATTTCACCCTCGTGAGGACACGTTTACTCACCGATCAGAGGAAATCACGTTTGGGAATTCGATAAATCAATCCAACGTTCCAACGTATGGTTCTCCGTATCCTGTGAAATGATTCAGGACTTTAGATCGTATCGGCTGTTCGAGTTGCAGACAGGAGTATATATACCTGGGAACGTACCCTCTCTGACGCATCCCCTCGGCTGAAAACTCTGTATCGCGCAGCCAATCCACAAGGTTCAACCCCACCAATCACCCTCCCCACTATCCTTTCATGGATCCTTCTTCCTTCGATCTTTTTACTCGTACAGGATCATTCTTACCAATTTTATTATTTATCGAACAATCATCGAACGAGGGATGCGGCCTTTCAATTTCTCCTATTCAATATTTTATTTTTTCACGTACAAAACATTTCCGACAGTCTGACTGACAGTCAAAACCTTGCATGAAGCTTAGAAAAATAAATGAAGGACCAGGTTTTAATTCTATCAATGAAGTAATATTTTATTTGTCGATATATAGAACATTTTCGATCAGAACAACGACAGTCTGACTGACAGTCAAAACCTTGCATGAAGCTTAGAAAAATAAATGAAGAAGGACCAGGTTTTAATTCTACCAATGAAGTAATATTTTATTTGTTGAAATATAGAACATTTTCGTTCAGAACAACGACAGTCTGACTGACAGTCAAAACCTTGCATGAAGCTTAGAAAAATAAATGAAGAAGGACCAGGTTTTAATTCTACCAATGAAGTAATATTTTATTTGTTGATACATAGAACATTTTCGTTCAGAACAACGACAGTCTGACTGACAGTCAAAACCTTGCATGAAGCTTAGAAAAATAAATTAAGAAGGACCAGGTTTTAATTCTATCAATGAAGTAATATTTTATTTGTTGATATATAGAACATTTTCGTTCAGAACAACGACAGTCTGACTGACAGTCAAAATGTTGCACGATAAACTTTAAAAAAATAAATCAAGATTGACCCAGGTCTTAATTCGACCAATAATATTTTAACTTATTTGTTGACGTATAATTTCCGTTCAGAACAACGACAGTCCGACAGTCAAAACCTTGCATGAAGTTTAGAAAAATAGTTCGAGAGTGACCCAGCTTTTAATTCGACCTATGAGGTAAGTCATAGTAATCCACATGAACGAGTTACGAGAGAAATATAATGAAAATCAAAATGGGGTTGAGGGGGAGTAAACAGAATAAAGGACACAGACGTTTATGTTAACGGTATAACATAGCAAGCATTTTTTCCCGACAGATTCATCTTTACAAGCAATAAAGTCTCGCAAAAGTGTAATCAGATTGGTTGGAAACGGGGATTTACCGCAGGCTTTTATAAAACGTTCTCACAAGGTATCTTCTGGGATGTAAAGAGAGATATTACTTTCGCGGAGCTTCGGACACATTTAGATCGCATTTTATAAAATTTCATAGATTTGTATGTCCTCGAAATTAAATAACGGAATTTACGTCAAACGTTATTTTTATCTACGTTACGTAACATTTTCGATTAATCCCGTTATCAAGATTCGAGCACTCCGAAGTATGAAAGTCCACGTAACATAAAAAGATTCTACTGTAGAACGATTCCTAATCTTGCTCTCCGAAATTATAAGCCTGCATTCGATCTTGAAGTTGCGGGAGGAAAGTCGATAAGAAAGCGTCAAAATCGGTGGAAGCATTTCACGGACGTGGCTTCGTGATGATCATGTTGATAGAAGAGTGAAATGAGATTGCAGACACGTTCGCAAACAGAATTAACGATCGGATGAATGAAGAGAAAAAAATAAAATATATTAATAAAAGGACACCCTACCGAGATTCGTAGACCCATTTTCCTCGAGTTTCAGGATATAGAGATCGATCGAGGAACTTCAGTTAAGCCTCTCATCTTCCGTCCTTTATTTCACGCGTGAAAGTTTTCTGTTTCTTCTTTAGTAAACGATGACACGTGTTCGGTTTTTGTTATGCGTTTAGCGGGCGGAAACCTTCGGTAAACAATCGTGATCGGTGTTCTTTGTGCGACCAAATATTAAATGTCATTCAGATAACTCACCCCTCGATTCGATTAATAGGAACATATGTTCGCGTTTATTGGTTTTAATTAGATCTCGGCGACTACTATTCGATGAATTCGACGAATTTCGCTGGCAGATTGTTTCTCTTCTGATGAACCGTTTGCGGTTGAACGGTGGGCAAGAAATTTCTAGTTTATAATGAGTTTCTTAAATAATTAATAATAAGTGAGCATCGCGTTTTGTAACGAGAGGTAACTGGAAGTTTCGGAATTTGAGAAACACTGAAACGAGGAAACGGGACGTGTGTTTATACTGAGCTTACCTTTATCCCTTATCAATCAGTTAATACTTTCATTTTACATTCGTCACTAGTCCCTGTCGCTCAGTTAATTTACAACTTCTGTCCTACGGCGCAAACAGATTACACCCTGCTGATCAGATTTTGCGGAACTTGCGATGTACAGATTTTCATATAGTTTTAAGGGATTTGCAGAAGGATTCCGAGTGAATCTCTTCGAAATTAAATGCATAAAATGATTACAGTATTTGAAAGTTACGTTGAAATTTATCTCCGATTGGATTTAGGATCGTATGAGGGCGCTGTGTCCACTACACGATACACCTGTCCGACCGACAGGTGACTTACCTTCCAAAGATAAGTCACGGCCATCAGAATTATACAACTTTGCTTCGTACAGTTATTTGATCACGAATGTTATGATAGACTTCTAATAATTCATCTCTTCTTCTAAATAATTCACTCTCGTTCGCAGACTTTAAGAGTTGGAAAAAAGAAGTAATGGGAGGCTTCTCTCAAGTGTATCTTGATGTATAGCGAATTAATTTAATGTAATAGGTGTACTTACACGAATGAATTTATAAAGAGTAATTTAATAAAGATCGTTTATTTTGTACTCAACTAATTCTAAGATCCTTTTAAAAGGCATTTACTATTATAGCCCTGTAACGAGACAAAAACTGCAATTTTCCATCGCATTCCGTTACCTAGCAATCTCAGACTTCCTCTTCCGTTACTCGAGTGCCATTCTCGTGAATACAAACTTTTCTCGCGGTATCCTCAATTAATATGAAAATTAATTGAACATGAAAATTTAACCCAAGACTTGATAGATTTTTAACAAAGGTCCAGCATTCTTTGACCACCCCTATTACCTAACAAACGTCATCGAAACATGGTACTAACGGTTTCGAAAACGTGCCAAAGGGACCCAAGCTACCTGCGATTCGCGGTCGAAGGGACCGTGGAATCAAGATCAGGAAGAAGTATCGTGGAGGGAGAAAAAAAGGGAGGCAAGGATAATAGCGAAGAAGAGGCAATGTCTTTTCCTTCGGTCATACGGCGACCTCTGCGCGACGACAACCAGGTCGAGGTGGGGGTAGAGGCTACGAGGAGGCCAGAAGAGCGTCGACGAATAGGGCCCACGAAAAGAAGAAGGCACGAGTTCTCGTACGTGGTGCGAGAAGGAAAGGTGTCCCGTTTGGACGAAGAGAAGCAACCGAGGAGAACGGTCATTGCCACCACCTCACCTCGAGTCCGATGCTAAAGTCCCCGTCACGAGGCGTATCCTCGACCCTGGCACGGTCTACTGTGCGGAATTGTCCTGTAGTTTAGCCTGGCTTCGTTCTATGGTGGTGGGGCCCCGTTCAACGAGCAAACGATGCGCCTCGCCGGGATTCGTGCATACGGAGCGCAGTCGAGAGCACCTGGATCGGTGATCCAGAAGTCGTGAACCACGTTAAACATCGGCCAGGACCTGAAACCAGTTCGATCGGTGGCGAGCTGCGGCCAGCTCGAGTTTCATTGGGTCCCTTTTGCGTGGACACCTTCGCCGGGATCCTGCCAACAGATCCTGCCGGTCCACGGATCTGCTAGTAACGTGTTCGTCGCGAGCTCTCTTTTTTACCACCGATGAGACCCGGTCCAAATCTGCGCGATAAATACAACGGGAATTCGAGGCTGAACTTTACGGTGTTCGCACGGGGGATCGTGCTTCGAAGGGGTTTCAGGTGACTTCTCAGCTGTAACGAGCTGTATTAACGGAAGCCGATTTTCGAGCTCTGGGGGGATGATGTCTCTTCGAGTCTGACCACGGAGTTGTCTTCATCGCTGCTGCCGGTATCAGTCAAGGTAAGGTTATCTATCGTAGGCTGACGAGGATGCTCTTTGGCCTTGATTCGGATCACTGCGAACGTTCAAAAGCTGGAATTTGGTCTAATTTGAGGATGTTAACACGGTTGAAGTGGGGTCACTGGTGCTTGATGTAATCCAGTAATTAATTAAGAGTAGACATCGACAGACCGATTAGCAGGTTAAACGGGATAGCTCAAATTTTATATAAACGAACTTATACAAGGAATGAGCCGATAGGTAGTTGACATCTCAAACTTTGAACAATCTAGTATCTCTTTACTGTAATCGATAATTGATAAGAGAAACAAATACGTCCTTCAATGCCTCAAGTTTTAAAGAAGCGATTAAACTGAACGAACCGTATAGCGTCAAAGTAACGTTAGTGATAAGCTTAAAAATTAACGCACTGCTAATAATCGGTGTTGTATATCTTATAATTTACGATCATTTTCCCTGCGGCAATCAACGTGTTAACGCACTCGGGAGAAACTGCAAAGCATCGGATACAATATCGGAGAAATTGAAATAAGAGAATCATAATTTTTCTTGAAACATTAGCATTAGTTTTTTTTAACGGTAGTATATTTATGATAGAGCGGACAGGTATTTCAGAGCTCGTTGCCACTGATTTGCCAAAGTGAACCGTATGTCGTTCACGAATAGCGGTACCACTCATTCCTTTAAGCAGAATTCAAACTTTCACGAACGGTACGACTTTGGTATGAGTGTCATTCTCTCGATGATATCGCCTCGTTTCGTATGTAATCCACGATCGAACCGGAAAAAGTATCGATAATATTTGCGCCGTTCTTTTCCACTCGATTAATAATCGAAGGCATAATCTTTATATTGAGGTATTAACTTTAAATTTGATAGTGACTTTAAACAAGTACATATTTTGAAATCGAACAGTAAAAGTAATCATGTGCTTCGCCATAAAATTTTCTACCGAGTCGCAGACAAATTAGTCAATTAAACCAGAAGCGTTTATGATCCCTGTTAACGAGTTCTGCGTTAATACGACGGTTTTCTTGTTTCCAAATGACTGTTTTATTCCACTGTACCGTAGTTCGGCGCCAACCCACATGTGCGCCTCGTATTAGATACGTGCGTACAAATGAAAGTGGCCTGTACCGTTACAACTTACGCACTACTGTACAACAAAAGCTTTTTATACAGGGACACGCGTATACACACACATATGCACACACACGAGAACGTTGACCGCTTTCGTCTTTTCGGGTCTCATTAATCCTAGGATAACGGGTTAGTATCGGCTATTTAAATTTGATCTTAGATCCCACTTATTTATAACCCGCTTCCGATATTATTTGTCGGATGAAAGTATTTCGTTGAAGAATTCCAACCACCTTTGGAAACACCGTTTCACGTTTTATGGACCTGGGTTACGATCTGTTTCGGGATTAAGAGATTTCGGTAGAGACCTTGACTTCTACCTCCGAGGATCCTTGGAAGTTTTGAAACAAAATTAACCCGTAGTTTCAAAAATAAATAGCGGTACAATTATAAAGAGCCCGATATCGAAAGAGAATGATAGGAATATCTTCCTTTTTAAACCAAACAGGAAATTGTAATTGCGTCCAGTATAATAATTTAATATTAGACAGAATAACGATAGTAATCAACGATAATTCCTTCGATGTTCGCGTTGGTCGAAGGAAATCAGTTTTCCTGTATTCTTCCTGGAACGAAGAAACGTTAGAATGACCCAAATAAGGGATTATGTATGATAGAGCATAAAAAAGACCGTTCAAAATCGAAACAGATAACTGTTGCCTAACTAATCAGAAGCGGGAAACCAGTAACCTGACCATCGACAAGCTAACACAACTCACGTCGACATTTGTTGCTTCATCCACCCGAATTCCTGTCTCTGGGTAACTGTAACGGTTTTTATCACTTCCTCTTAAGAGGAGGAGCGAGTGCACACTGGATGAGATCATTGCATTTCTTCGGACACGTCGAAAGAAAACTAGAATTACCCGGTTTAGTTTCGAAGTAAAACCATCCTTTCACGAGTTTCGAATACGTGGACTTGTTGCTGAAGAAGGGAAGGTTAATTAGTTATTGGCGAAAAATTTATATGGATTCTTTGTTTATAGTGTTGATCATCTTAGTGTCATCTCTGAGATCTCGAGCTCTTCTGGATTTTTTATAAAACGGAAATTCGTCCTAGGTTTTAAGCTCATCTGAAGGTGGTCATCTCTTGATTCCTAACCTCAACTCCAAGTCCTCCCTAAGTTTTGCTTAGATTGCGCTTAAAGTCTTCTGATCTTAGATTTTTCATACGCTTCCCAAGTTTTTCCTGGGTTTCGTTTGGACTGCGATTAGGCTTCTGCCCATTTCTACATTTCACTAACCTCTCCCAACTCCCAAGTCCTCCCTAAGTTTTGCTTAGACTGTGATTAAAGTCTTCTGATCTTAGATTTTTCATACGCTTCCTGAATTCTTCCTGGGTTTCGTTTGAACTGCGATTAGGCTTCTGCCCATTTCAACATTGCACTAACCTCTCCCAACACGGGTCCTAAAGTCTCCACCCGTGATTTCTCCTTTAAGTTTACCTTCCAAAACACCCATACAAGTTCGCGTGTATATAAAACACGAAAGTTCACGAAGGAACGTAAAACGAGTTCTTCGAACCGACCCAACGATTCACAAGTATATCCGAGTGGACAGGATATAACGTTACCAGCCGAATTCTTGCTTCTGAATAACTGTAAGTTAGTTGTTACAGGATGAATATATCGTGGCTCGATATCGTGTCAACGTAAACGCCGAGAAAGGTGAAAAGAAAACGATACGAGGAAAGTGCTCGAGCATCTCGAGGGAAAATACGCGAATCTTATTGTTGCTTTCGCGTAATACCGTGGCTCGTTTTGTTGAAAACGAGCGTCTGTTCACATAAGGTCGTTACACTCCTTTCTACTCTCGATGAATTAATCATTATTAATATTTCTCCTTGTCTAACGAGTTCGTTAATTCACTGGGCTAATCTACAATCGCATCCTCTGCAGATTCGTAACTATTTTTCCGGTCTTGGCTTCCTTCTATTCTTTCGCTGTAATTATTTTCTTGACGTTAGTTGAGTACATCGAATCGATTTTGTAAGATTATCTTATCGAAATTCGTACAAATCATCCTTATCGGAATTTATTTTTAATGCTTCCGTTTAACTTTTAATTCTACAACGTATTGTTACCATTATTTATCAGCAAGTTCAATATATCATTCACTGTCATTCGCACTCGTGAAACTTGTAACTAGATTCTGCGGGATGAATTAATTTCGTATAATAGTCGGCTGAAAACAGGGCCCGTTTCATGAGAATTTTCTCAGGCGTATCGTAGACGAGAATTATTATCACTCTACGCGTGTATGCGGGCACCCTAACGTTACGAATCATTTTTCCTTCTTGTCTTTCTCTCTAAAATTCTCGTTTCTTTTTTTTCAGATGTGGGATCGAGAAAGAACTGTCTGGGCCATCGTCTTCTTAGCCAACGTGTTGATGAATACCGCGATCGCTTCGCCGATCTACGTTGCGCAATTTATTCCAGGAAGTAAGTCCCTTCAAATTTGCGAACAATGTTGAATAGATAAAAACGCGAGGAAAAGGGATTATAGGATCTATAGCAAAACTGTTAAATATTAACGATAAAATTATGGGAAAAATAGTTAACTGACAGAAATTCTGTAGTTCATCGTTAGCGACGGAACTTAAGTTTCCTTAAGTTAGGATACAGTGGCATTCTAATGTGTCGTTTTCACAGGTGTAACGTTCGCATTTTTAATAAAATAGTAAAGAATTGAAAAAATTTTCTTCGATTACGATTCCATCGATTCTAAGATTTTCTCGGAGCGTCAGCTGAGTAACGGGCCGATACGCAAATACTCAGGTGTCTGTACGTGTCCTGAAACATATTCGAGACGTACACTCGTATACGGGAATATATGAACAGTACACTTGTATGCATCGTAGGACGACATTGAACCTACCTTGGATTCGAGTGCGAATGAAACGTGGGCGGACTGGTCAGTTTTCTATACAAGTGGGTCAGTCTCGGTCATCGTCGCGCACGCGACTTACACTGATTTTTCCGACCTCGTCATCCTCCTTCTCATCTGTATTCTTATCGTTTCATTCAGTCGTTCGTATCACGTCGAAATCGGTCGTCTCGATCTTTCACCCGCGAACACCGTCACATCGTGTTACTCGTTGTGCAAGTGAAATTATTTTCACTGTTAGTTCATCTTATTCTCTCACGATCACTATACGACTTTTCAAATACTTTTACAATTTTTTATATTGAATATAACAATGTTCATATTATAGTAATATATATATTATAATATATAAATAATGTATGAACGTAGTTTGTTGAAGATAATCTTCCTTTAAAAAGAATTAGATAATTGCTACACAAAACTGTAAGCTGTTAACTATCATAACTTATAGAACTCCTACTTTTTTCTACAAATAAAATGTACATTTTTGGCGAAGTTTTTGATGAAGAACAAAATGACTTCATTTTCAAAATGTCCACATACTTGCAAAAGATATGCACATACTGTAACAGACTGTGAATTAACCTGTTCAAAATGACGCGAATTAACCTTTCAGAAATCGTAATGTCTGGTCATAGATATTATAAGAAACAACGCTATAATAACACTAAGAACTCTGAGAGCAGTGATGGATATAACAAGACAGATTTGACAATGCACATTGACGAAATTTGTCGTGGTGATTAATGATCTCGTTTTCGATCTCCGATAATCAGTGAAATACTTTCGTAGCAGTGAAACGCCTTTGCGTGGGCGTCCACGTGTCCACGACCATCGCTGAAATTCCGACGAGCTCGCAATGGAATCGGCAACTTTCTTTCACCATTGTGACTCATGGTCGGACGACACTTCCGCTAGCACAGATTTCCTACGCGGAAATGGCAGCGACGAAACACGTGGAACACCTTGGACAGAGGGAACTGACCGACTGACCCGAAACGATGCCTGGTTTTGTGTATGATTTTACGGTCGATTTTCACTCGCCACGGTCGTCAACCTCGAAGAAAGTAAATATTCTGAGAAAAATACGTTGTGGTCACTGACATGGAGATGCAAGTTAGATGGTCCCTGCATACAATGCTGAATTACGATTTCTTGACATAAACTGCATTTATGGTATTCAAGAACATGAACCTCGATGTGTTGCATTTAATTCACCTGGATGTTCAACTACAAATATCCGACTCTTACTTCGAATTTCAGGAGAATGATTTTGATTCAGTTTTGAAGCTATGTATCCTTCTTTTGAAACGTGCTGTATAAGGAAAAGCGTCTAGCATGAACTTCCGTTCTTTTCTTAAAAAGTCCGTAATGGCGTGCACTCTTTTTTGTGATTTTATCGACAAATTCCATTTGGTCGATGAAGCTTCAGAAACTTGTAAAAGATAAAAAACAAAAAAATGCTTCCAAGAAAACTCGATCAATATTCCCTCATGTTCAGCACTTTGCCACTCTCGATTATCGGATAAGGTATTTAAGAAATTATTTATAATATACAGTATAGAATGATTTCCACCGAAACGAGTGTAGCTGGGTCATCGATCAAATACGTCACCCAGATACGACAAGGCATTTTGAGTGTTCCGGAGAAATGGGTGAGAAATATCTATCGTTTGCGTCATTGATGCGTCCTGCTAAAAATATCCAGTGCGCAGGTGTGTCCGTGATTCAGGGTAGCTCGGGTCAGGTATGACGATTTGATCGCGTTAAGAACTTAGGAATGCGCGCGAGAATTTCGTTCGGTTGGGCGGCCAACGTTAGAAGACGGAGAGGAGAAACACGAGATTGTGAGCGAGGTGTCTTAGAGGGAAACGTGCTGTTACATTAGGCTATGACTGTGACCCACTTTTGGATCGGGCAACTAGCTCATACATCGAAACTTAACGGTACCGAGATGCTTCGCCTTGGCTGACATCAATTCGTTCTTCGATAACGCTTGCTATGTTGCATGCATCATTGCCGCTTAATCGAGAACCGATAATCACTGACTTCGTAATCAGAATGATTCTTCACAATTCCTAAATTTGTGAAAACAAATGATTAACTTTTTTCAGGGATATCGCCTGAATATTTGGAGCGTTAAATCATAATAATGATAACGAAATATTTTTAATTTAATACCCATTTCTGTTTAGCTGTTCAGTTGCTCTATCTTTCGAGTATTTAAGAAATAGTCTAGCTGACTAATCAAGATTATCCTCAGCGAACAGCAGCCTTAACGAAAATTAATGATAACGTGGAATAAACAACCAAATTTGTAACATGATAGTAGGTGTGCAAATTAAGATAGGTGAAGAGGATGGAACAGAAAGTGTTCAATTAACAACATACATCCGAGCGCAGGAATGACAAACGAGTTGTCGCGTTAACTTTCATACAAAGCCCATGATCTTGCTCGTTCTACATTCCCTTCCACCTGGTATCGTCACCGTTTATAATTCCTCTTAATCGTCCTACAGTGTCCTGTCGCGGATAATAAACGGCATCGAGCAACGTAATTGATTAATAACCGGCCTCGAAAGAAGCTGTAAATCTCTTGACGGAAGCGCGTAGGCAGTTCCTGCCGTCTAATTACGTCCGTTATTAACGGATTACCGTAGAACACGATTATCTTTCTAACACCCAAAATATCTCTTTAAAAAGGAGTTATACCTCCAACAGAGAATCGTCGAAGACGGATAACGGAACGAGCTTCGATGATTCATTCCGACCCTCTGGTACAGTTACTTCCATCCAGAAATTCAGAGAATCCTCATCAAATCTTCGATCTTCTTTGATTCAAGACAATTTGATTACCGTAAGTTTACGGCGGGCACAATTCGATTTAAATTACGAGGCATCGTAAACTGGCTGGGTGATCAGACTCTCATGTATTATCCAAACAACAGTAGATTTTTGTTACATTGCCAAGTACGGTACTGCTGGGATTGGCAATGTAACGTTCACCAAAAAGTTTCCTTCGATTTCCCGTATCTTACGATGGTGGAGGAAGATAAAGTAGACGTGATTTAAATCGTTACAATTCTGATTATCATGAACAATAAGGAGTCGAAACGATATTTAAAATTCACATACGATACAAATCAGTTCCTTCATGTTCGAAGATAAAACTGGCCTTGATTTATTGTGACATGTGTTACATGTCAGGTAGACCACCTTGTTGAAAACAATTTCAATCATGCGAGAAAGATTCCGTCACTCGTTAAACGATCATTCATTTTATAGAATTTCTGAGACAGTGAACGATTTTATTGTTAAGATAATTTTCGAACAAAGAGTGTTAAATTTGGTGTTCGTTTTCAGGCACGGGGAGGAATATCAGGCACCTGCCCTGTGTGTCCCGCAGAACCGGCGAGACTGGGGTGTGCATGTTCGCGTTCACGTGTGCCAAAGCGAATGGAACGCACCTTGGCACTTGCATCGACCGTTTTTACTTCGGTAGTTGTTGCAAGATCGACGAAGAGCCCGATATTTTCCCTCAAGACAATAGTATCGACGATGGGCCGCCGGCGAGGCCGTTCGTCACGACCCATGGGCCCATCGAGAGCTACGACATACCCGAGTACTTCTCAAGGCCGAAACCGATCAACGAGATGAAACCACCTGGAACAACGCTCTCCACCGAGGTATGTGATTCACCATTTCGATGAGCTCTAGCTTAGAAAAATAGTTGCGGAACAAATAGTTAATGTATCGCTTTAATTTATTCCGGACCGTAAATTCTTGCCGAACTTATCGCATTGTAAGACATTGCACAAAGTTACAATTTCAGTTTACATTTTCAAAGTTACTTTACGAAATTATATACAGCAGATTCAGAATGCGAAATCGTTACTATAGGTTCAATGTAATTACGTATAAAGTAAGCATTCCTTTCCGTTTTTATTTCACGGACAAATTTAGGGTCCAAGCACGGTGACGCACAGCACCCGAGAACCACCGACGACCATAAAAGACACGACAAAACTCGTAACGAAGAAGCCGATACTGACGAGCGTCGAAACAACCACGCAACCGGTTCGATTATCTACCTTTCAAACCGTGCAGAACTCATCGATCCAAGACTCCACGACAAGAAGTCCTCCGAGAATCACGAGCAGTACCGTCCAAACGACGCAAAAACCATCCAGCACAGTCACAGAAATCATGAACACGACTGGCAAACCTTCCACGTTGATTTCCACGGTGCCTCCGAGGCCAACGACACTGGAAACCGCGACAAAAGTGCCATCCACCGCTCAAACGTTTGCTCAAACCACCAAACCGATTACGAGGAAACCCATCGTTAACACGTCAACGACTAAAAGGCCAACATACGCGACGACGCGTAAACCCGTTCAATCGACCGTCAATAGACCCACGGAAACCACTTTGAAACCCGTTCAATCGAGTAGTCATCAAACGACAGAATCGACGACGTCGAAAACCGTGTACACCACGACTCAGAGGACCACGCCGATTACGAGGTTTCCACCAAGAAATGCGACTACGGCGAGACCGTTAACTCATGCTACTACTAGGAGACCTACGACGGCTACCAAGAGACCTACGACGAGTAGCAGTACACGGAGACCGACTACCACGAGGAAACCTACTTCACCCACCAAGAGGCCTAGCAAACCAAGTACTTCGACTTCTAGTACTCTGTCTTTTGCAACCACGACGAAACCTACTGTCACGACTGTTAAGGATCGACCATCGACCATCAAGGACCGACCGTCGACTATTGCAACTACTACAGGAAGCTCCACGAGCGAAACGAAGCCTACGGTATCTGTCACGGAGACTACCGTTCAGAAGATTACAACGAGTACAACGAAACCCGTGCAGAAAATTAAACCGACCACCATCAGAACCACGACTTCTAGGCCAACCACTACGAGACCGACTACAACCACTTCGAGACCAACTACAACCACTTCGAGGCCAACCACGACTACTTCGAAGCCAACGAAGACCACTTCGAGACCGACAACTACCCCAAGGCCTAAGCCTACGAGAGTCAACGCAACAACCACCAAGCCGCAAACAAAACCTGCGTTCACAACCACCGAGAAAACGGAGTCTCCGTCTTCTATAGAGACCTTCAATACCACTGTCACTAAAGTTAGACCAACGACAGAGTCGACGAAACCTACTAAACCATTCAAGCCCTTGACGACATCATCGACTGTGCCTACAGTGACGGAGACCAGTTTCGCTGTGGCGTCTTCTACGGAAGCGTATGTTCCTTCGACGAAGGTGCCGGTTAATCAGACCTTGGACGAAGTATTTCAAACTACTTATGCACCTGGTATTGTTACGTGGACCTCGAGTTCGGATGATACTACGAAGACTCCGGAGATTGCGACCACTGAACCGGGTGAGTTGGGGAAATTGATTCTATATGGTTGAATGTATATTCCCGAATTCTCACATATCCAAATTCCCACATCCCCAAATTCCTACGCTCCCAAATTTCTACGCTCCCAAATTCCTATGCTTCCAAATTCCCACATCCCCAAATTTCTACGCTCCCAAATTTCTACGCCCCCAAATTCCTACGTCCCCGAATTCCCACAACCCCCAAATTCCCACATCCCCAAATTTCTACGCTCCCAAATTTCTACGCCCCCAAATTCCTA